GTTCCGTGGGGAAAAGATGGTCTCTTCAATAAATGGTGTTGCGAAAACTGCACCACTATCTTACACCATTACACAAAAATTAACTCAAAATGGATTAAAGACTTGAACGTAAGACCTAGAAACCATAAAGTTCCTAGAAGTACCACAGCAGTAAGCTCCTTGACGTTGGTCTTGGTGATGATTTTTTTGAATCTGACACCAAAAGCAAAAATAAACAAGTGGGACTACATCATACTGGAATGCTTCTGCACAACAAAGGAATCCTCAACAAAATGAAAGGTAATCTACTGAATGGGAGAAGATTTTTGTAAATCATCTATCTGAAAAGGGGTTAATATCCAAAATATATAAAGAACCCCTGCAACTCAGTAACACAAAACCAAACAATCCAATTAAGTAGTGGGCAGATCTGAATAGACATTTTTTCAAAGAAGACGTATATAGATGCACAACATGAACAGATGCTCAACATCACTCGTGATCAGGGAACTGCAAATCCAAACCACAATGAGATATCACCTCACCCCTGTTAGAATGGATATTATCAAAAAGAGAAGAAATAACAAGTTTCAGGGAAAAAAGGCAACCCTCTTGCACTGTTGGTGGGAATGTAAATTGGTGCAGCCACTCTGGAAAACAGTTTCTCCAAAAATTAAAACCAGAACTACCAGAAGATCTAGCAATTCCACTTCTGGGTATTTATCCAAAGAAAATGAAAACACTAACAAGAAAAGATATACCTATGTCTATGTTGATTGCAGCATTATTTACAACAGTGAAGCACCTAACAATCATACAGACACGTGTATAAAGAAACTGACACCAAAAGCAAAAATCAACAAGTGGGACTACATCATCCTGGAATGCTTCTGCACAGCAAAGGAATCCCCAACAGAATGAAAGGTAATCTGAATGGGAGAAGATATAAGAAGTGTATATATACACACACACACATATATATATATATTACATATGCATAGTAGAATATTATTCAGCCATAAAAAAGAATGAAATCTTGCCACTTGTGACAAAATGGATGGATCTTGAGGGCATTATGCTAAGTGAAATAAGTCAGACAAAGACAAATACTGCGTGATCTCTCTTATACGTGGATTCTAAAAAAAAAAAAAGCTTGTGGTTGCCAGAGCTGGAGGGTGGGGAGGGTGGAGAAGTGGATGAAGGGAGTCAAAAGGTAAAAAGGAAAAAAAAAAAAAGAAAACCTTGAACCACAGATATCCTCTGGGCAGCCAAAATGTTTTGAATATTTTGGCTGCCCATGGGTTGAAGGTTGGGAAACACAGCTGAATAGCAGAATTCTTGAGCAGTGCTGTTGGACCCCGGTCTAGTGGGCCCTGAGATTTGCCTGCCTGTGAGTGGGAATGGTGGGGTGTTAGGAGAGATCTGTGTGGCCCAGATAGGGCAGATTTAGACTAAATAAACCTCTTGTATCAAAATTTAGTGGTGTTCCAGACACAGATAATGGATCGTGAGAAGCCCGCTGTCTGGGGTCACAGACACCACAGCTTACAGGGGCCTGGAATGGGGTGTGCTCCGGGCTTCTGACCTTCTCTGAGACCATCTTACTTGGCCCTCATGAGGCCATTCTTCCCAAAAATATGTATCAGAGAAGAAGAAAACCACCTCTAATGTGACAGAAATATGCTAGGTGTTGACGACAATTTGAAGTCAATGGAATTTCCCTATTATAAAGATGGGGATCTTTGTGTATGCATGGGGGGCGCTCTATCAGGAGAACAGTGTTCCGTGCCCCACCAGGATGTCAAAGCACTCTTAATGGCAATAGGATTATAGGATTAAAGCCTGAAATCAGTACACAAATGGCTGACCTATAAAGTACTTTTAAAGGAGTATTCTGCACAGAGCTTCCACAAAACGCTCAGGGCATTGAGAGGACAGAGGTGAATTCATGGCAGTGTTGAGTGATCAGTCAGGCACACATAGTTGTGGTGAGGACTGAGGACAAGAGGAATTGAAGTTCTGAGTCTAGACAGGGTGGAGTGAACAGAGCAGTTAGAAGCAGGGTTGTGAAATGCATCGTCCAGAATGTCGTGTTTGTGGGATGCCAAACGGGGCCATGCCTGCTTCAGAGATAACCATGCAGGCATGGTGTCTAGTTCTCCATCGTATTTCACAAGCTTCAAGAAACCTCCAGAACGCGTGCCCTGAGGGTGTCCGAGCCAGCCAGCCAGCCATCCCATGAAACACCGCCACAGCTCCAGACTTCAAGACCCTCCTCTGCTTTGCTTCATTGACATCATTTTATCATGTGCACCTTGCACTGTTAAGTAAACGCAAGTTCTGTCTCCTTGGGGCCTCACGGTTGCTATGGAGGTAGATGTAAGGAAGGGGACAGCATTTCAGAGTTCGTTCTGCGTTGGCTTATTTGCTTGGTAAGGAGTCTGATATCTGCAGATGCAAGGACTGGGAGAAACATTTATACTTTTTCTTTACATTTTGCCATGGGAGCCGAAATAGGCATCAACAGATTATCTGGCTGTTGAGCTGTTTCCTGTAGATCCCCCACCTGTTTCCTATGGGAATGCTGCACTTGATGAACAAGGCACTGGATTCCTCTGGTGCTTGGCATCCCACGACAAAGCATGAACTGACGTTCAAAGCAACCTCCAGAGATTGGTGTTTGCTTTGCCTTTAATATTTATGGACAAGACAATCTGAGTCTCAAAAATGTTCTCAGGGGACTGAATGATAATATACTTGGCTGAACAGAATAGGATTGGAGCCTGAGCGCAGGTAATTCAGCCTGCTGCTGAATGTGATAGGTTTCCTTTATGTATTTTTTTTTATTTTTATTTTTTAAGTAAGCTCTATACCCAGCGTGGGGCTTAAACTCACGACCTTGAGATTAAGGGTCGCATGCTCCACCGACTGAGCCAGCCAAATACCCCGCTACATATTTATTTTAAATACAGTGAACCCATCGTTCATACGAAAGCTTCCCCACAAGCTCCTTTTGTCAAACATGAGAGCGGAGTTGTCCAGAGGCTCTCATCCCCCCAGTCATTCATTCTGGCAAATGTTGGCTCTGGGGTCTTCGACACGCCGGGAATCGTTAGGAACTTTGGAAACGGGCAGTAATCGCTGTCCCCATGGGTCCCACATGGTAACCGGGGAGATGATAAATAAATGTATAATAACCGTAATAGCAAGCATGTACTGGATATTCACTTAGTGCCAAGAACCTCCTAAAGTTCTTTCACGTGTAGTAACCCATTTAGTTCACGTGATCGCTTTGTGAGGTAGGTACAGGTGTTCACCCAATTTTACAGGAGATAAGTGGAGGCAGAGAAGAATCAAGGAGTGTGTCCACGTTCATGTGGCTTGTAAATGGCAAAGGCAGGAGTCGAACCTGGATGGCATATCTCTGCCATATGTGGACTGACTTCCTGGTTGCGCCGGCCTCGAGGTGGAATATGCCCTGGGCACCAGGTGCTGGGGAGGAATACTGGTCAGGACAAGGGAGAAGAGGCGCCTAGGCAGAGTGTGGCTGCCATTTTGTTTTGCTTTGTTTTTTTCTTTTCTCTTCTCTCTCTCTCTCTCTCTCTTTTTTTAAGTAGATTCCATGCCCAGTGTGGAGCCCAATTCAGGGCTTGAACTCACGCCCCTGAGATCAAGACCTGAGCCGAGATCGAGAGGCAGACACTCAACTGACTGAGCCACCCAAGCGCCCCGCCATTTTGTTTTTAATTTGAAATTGGAGTGTTGGTTCTCTAAACCCTCTTTCTGCATTCACTTACATGGTTCGATTGAGCAGACCCTGGGGCGGGGGGAAGACTGAAAACTGATGTGCCCTTTAGCCTGCCAGCTCCCCAGACCCCACGCCGAGTAGGAGAAATTGCTCTGTGGAAACAGTTCATTCACGTGTTGGCTTGCATTTATTTTCGGCATGTTAGATACCGAGCACGTGGTACGGCATTCACAGTCACTGGTCTTCACGGCTGCCATTTATATCATACATCCATTTGTTCATAACTTTTGAAGGTTCAAAGAAACCCAAGCCCATTCTTGGCAGCAAGTGGGCTACTTCTCAAGATGGCAGACCGTGTTAGAAAGTGGGGTCGGGGGGGGACAGTAAAGTAACCCCTAAACGGGGAAGGCCCTTCGAGACAGGGAAACAGAGCAGGCGACTCCATGCAGTTTACACAGAACTTTATTCAGGGCAACTTACTGATGGGGGATCGGGTGGAGAATGATCCAATAGCCCTGCAGTTACTCTCTAAGAAGTCCGGACATCAGGTTGCGGATTTTATAGCGTGAGGGACGCTGGGGCACTGCAGCGGGATCAGAGGGTTCACACGCACCTCAAAGGGTTTGCAGGTGCCTACTTGGCAGCTACACCTTTAATAAGCTCTTGTGGCCCCACCTGAGCACCAGGAAGGAGAGAGACTGTGTTATCTCTAGCAGATTCATGGGAGGCCAAAGCCAGCCTCCCCCATCCCGGCCTGGGCGGGCAATCCTAAGGTGTGTATGTCCGTCCCCAAAGTGCCCGGAACAGGTAGCCTTGAGAGAGGTCACCGAGTGGCCAGGGGTGCAGTCAGTGTCCTTAGCACCCCTAAAGACTGTCTTCTTGTCCACGGCTTCTTGACTCTTCCGCTTTTCAGTGCCTAAGACCTCGTTCCGATGACAGGCTAATCTTTCAAGGAGGCTCGGTTCACACACCTGCAGTTTGGTCGGGAGTATTAACTGATTCTAGCTAGTACGTGGAGTTAAATGTTGCAAGCATCTGCCATTTCCTTCGTGACGACGAAAATAAACCTTGCAGCAGGAATCTGTCACGCGGCATCTTCTGCTGTAAGGCAAAGTGAGAATATGGGTTTTGCTCAGGGCATTCGAGCCCGTCAGTGGAAATGATATTGGAGGCTTGCATGGGTGGTTTGGCACTGTGCTCATGCTGGAGCATCCTCCCACAGAGAAGTCATCTCACACTGATGAGATTTTCTGTCTGTCTCTCCCCTTCGCAGGGCTGCCTGACAACTCCCAACTCCCCGTCAGTGAATTCCCGTTCCATTACGTTGGGTCCATCCCTCTCACTCAGCAACATCTCAGGGGTGTCTGTGAAGTCAGACCTGAAGAAGCGGCGGGCCCCCCCTCCTCCGACCCTACCAGGCACGGGGCCACCAGCGCAGGACAAGACCTCGGAAAAGGTAGGCAGAGAGCAGCTCTCGGGACCAGCACATCCACTAGATGGACCAGTGAGTTCTCTCTAGAAGTTCCCTGCATGCCCTACAATCCTTCAAATCTGTGGCTTCAGCAGGGAGAGTGTTCGAGCCAATATTTAAGCTTTAGGTAGAAGTAAAGGTGAGATGCCATGCTACTTCAGTTATGGGAGGTAGGAAACGTTTTGTGCTTTTAATCATTAGAGGCCTGTGCTTGCTGATTAGCATTTGTTCTACTTCTAGCGTTGAAATTTTGGGCATCGTCACCAACGCTTCGTGAGAAAATTGCATGGGTCAGGGCACTGGAAGAATCTGGAGTCTGTACGGGATAGGGATGATAGGTGATATTAATATAAGATGCCCCAAATAAGTCAGAGGCCCAGGACAGCAGGGAGGAAGGCACTTTTGGTGTGATACGGCATTCGCGGAGACCACGTATGTACGAAGCGTGCGTGTTAAGTTTATCTTCAGAGCAACTTAATCCCTTTGCAAGAGGTTGTCATTATGTGTGGATGGGAAAGAGCCTCTGTCCCCAGCAGCTGGGGTCTCGACTGGGCTTCTTTCCTGCCACGTGTCTGCGCGTGCCCCCGTGCAGCGCTGTTGGAAATCCCCAAACCTCCCTTCCCGGGGGCCAGGCTGCTCCTTGACCATGGCTCCCCTTCTCGGGGCTTGGAGTGGGACTCGGTAAAACTGGGAAGTATGGTTTGTATTCTCCAAATGCATCGTTCCTCATTTGGGTGGGCAGTGGCGGGACAGCCCCCGGGGTGGCCAGGCTGGGAGCGGGCTTTTGAATCCTAGAGAAGATGAGTGCCCCAAGGCAGACCAGCCATGCCCCCAGCAGGCCTGCTCCATACGTATTCTCAGACACGGGGTCAACCTGCAGGGGCAGTGAGGATGCATTATTCTTCATGAAGCTCAGAGGTTTCCCAGTGACGGGTGCCCCAGGTTCCTGGCGGAGGCAGGAGGCGGGGACACCCCAGCACGAATGAGAACTTTATAAAATACACATTTATTCTCCCAAAGGGGTTTAATTTCCTTTCCTTCTGCCTTGGTGTCCCTTGGCCTGTCCCTGCTTTATATAGGCCGACTGCTTCACATTCCTGCTAGTCTTGGTTGGAACCCTTTTTTGCTCATTCCATAAAATGGCTTTTCCTTAAAATAAACTAGAAACTAAGTCTGTACCTCCCAGGTGGGAGGCCTGGCCCAGGGTCATGGTTAGGAGTTTCTGAGGGGCTGTCTGGAGCCGCAGACTTCTCAGCTTCCTTTCTGTCCTGGCTGTCTGTCTGTCCATCAGTCTTTTCTTTAAAGACTTATTTATTTATTTTAGAAAGAGCCAGCGAGCATGTAAGCAGTGGGGAGGGGCAGAGGGAGAGGGAGAAAGAGTCCCAGGCAGACTCCACACTGAGCACAGAACCCAGGGCGGGGCTCGATCTCATGACCCGGAGACCATGACCTGAGTCAGAACCCAGTCGGTCGCTCAGTCACCTAGGCCACCGAGGCGCTCCCCGTCTGTCCGTCAGTCCTAATCTTTAACAAATCTTCCTCCCTCCCTCCAGGGGTGATCTTTATCCCCTCCCTCCCCCATTGCCATCTACAGACCTTTCCGGCCATGCCCTAGCAATCTGTTGGAAAAGCCTGCAACACGACATATTTTAGAAGAAATTATTTTGAGTTTTGGGCTTCCTAAGCATTTTCTAATGCCACGAAGTTGTTTTGAGGTCTCCTCCATGATACCTTAGCTCTCTTTTGATGCGGAGAACTTTCGGCACAAATGGCACCTCATTTGGTGGTACCCTTGAATGATTAAAGGGTGTAGATCAGGGGCGCCTGGGTGGCTCAGTCGTTTAGCGTCTGCCTTCGGCTCAGGTCATGATCCTGGGGTCCTGGGATCGAGCCCCGCATTGGGCTCCCTCCTCCGCGGGAAGCCTGCTTCTCCCTCTCCCACTCCCCCTGCTTGTGTTCCCTCTCTCAGTGTGTCTCTCTCTCCCTCTCTCTGTCAAAATAAATAAATAAAATATTAAAAAAGTAAAATAAAGGGTGTAAATCAAACATAGCGACTTCCGGTGGGTGTGTGCCGTGTGCCTCTTTATTTTGCTGGGGTTTATTTTACTCTGAACTTTTTCGTAACCCGCAGATCATATTTCTAGCATTTAGCACTTTTCAACCAGTCCCCTCTGGGGACGTCTTTTTACTTTCGATTAGGAGGGATATTTCTTTCTCAGTGAAAATCATGAATTCCAGGATCATGATTACTAACGGTTTTTTTTTTTTTCAATGAGAATAGCGTTTCCCTAATGTTACAGCATGTAGATGCTAAGCTAAATCAGCATTTTAAAACCGTCTTCCATCCAGAGAAGATGTGGTGTTTTTCAGATTTTAACGTGCTTCTCCAGAGTGGATAAAGTCTGCTGGATTGGGAAAATGTATAGTAAGTAGAGAATCGGGAATTCTGAATGAAAAGTAAACAGTTCTCTATACACTGAATAATGAACAGAGTTCCCTGTCAGGCAGTAAAAGCTTTTTACTGAAATCTATTTTATTTGGCACAGAATGGGCAGAGAAATTGGCTCACAGAAACCCTCTCCTTTTTTAAGCATATGAGTGGCATATGGATTAGATTTAAGCATTTGCTAGGACCATTTTTTTTTTCCTTTTTAAATGAAAGGTATTTTGTTATTTACTAATTTCTGGGAAAGGAACCCAAAAATGTATTGTTGTCATTGTTGGGGAAAAACGTCAATTCCTTCTTCATGAACTTCCTTCCATATAAAGATAAGATGTTTGTTTGGAAAGCCTTATTTATATGCAACTGTTGCTAACACCAATATCCTGAATGAAAAGGAAAGGCTTATTTTCAAGGACATGACTAGTTTTGGAAAAGGAAAATGCATCGATTTTCTTATTTTAGCAGATTTTTTCTTATCATCTGGTCTGAAAAATTTGGTGTTTCTGTATTCAGGTCTTAGAGTGGGAATAATTTCAGCCGCATCCCGGCTCATCGGAAACATTTTCAAAAACTCAGTCTTTGTATGCATGTTACCTGATGATAGACTCACAACATGATCATCAGTATCGGTAATTTCTGAAAGTACTTTCCGAAGAGCGTTTCCCAGAGGTGTTGGGGCCAGTGGAAAAGAAACTAACGGTGTCCCTGGGGAAGCCTGTTAGCAGAGAAATGGGCAAAACAGGTAAAGAAACATGGTATCTTTCCATCTATCCTTCCAGAACAAGGTGTTCCCCTTTCCTTGTACCCAGTACCTTGAACGTAGTTTTAATCAAGTGGAACATTCAGACAAGAATGATATATATGTGAGGGCACCATATGCTAAGTCAGTATTTTTCAGACTTAAGTGAGCATCAGAATCACCCCCAAAGGGCTTGTTAAAACACATTTCACTTGGCTCCACCCTGAGAGTTTCTGATTCAGGAGATCTGGGGCAGATCTCCTGAACGCTGGAACTGGCGTTCCAGCAAGTTCCCAGGCAAACCCCACTTTGAGAAGCGCCATGCCACAGAATGCCACTGCCCTGATCCGCCCACGCAGACTTGGAACTAACAAATGTGAGAGAGAGCCACTCGGTGTAAATATTCTTAACAGAGCCGGAGAGAGTCTTCGGCAGGACAGTTACCTGGAAAGAAATGAATCTGCGCTATGTAATAATATTTGGGCACAGGTCGCCATAGTGTTAGCTGGGGCCTGACGTTGGATGTTAAGATGAATAAAGAGCTCCACTCACTCTCTGGTTCTCAGTTTTCCTTCTCTGCAGACTGGGAACACTAAAAGCAGCCTTCCCAGGTGCGTGATGTAGAGGTCAGAGCAGGGGCCCTGGAGTGGCTACCTGGGTCCAGATCCCAGCTCCGTCACTCCTGGTAGTCCTTGGTGAGTCGCTCCACTCACACCCCTCCTTCCCCGAGGTGCACAAACCGCATAACCAGGTGGCGTGAGAGCCAGGCATCAGGGGATGCGGGAGCCTGAGGCAGGGACGGCTGGGTGGTGGGGGCGAAGGCTCTGTGCCCTGGCCAGCCTCCTGCATGAACCAAGTTGCAGACTAAATCTAAAACTCAAACTCTCCATTGCTACAAACATCAAAGGCAGTGCAAAGAGTTGCCACACCCCTGGGGCAGTTTCATCCCGTTAAATGATGCCACACCCCCCCTTGGTGGCATTTTTGCCCCATCAGTCACAGACTGAACACCCCCCGTTCACTAGTCCACACTCTCAGAGATTATCGGGGGACAATTGCTCATCCCTTTTATGCCTTTGGAGCCTCTCTCTGAGAAGAACGAGAACAGAATCCTGTCCAGTAATCCGTTAGGTGACTCAGTTTACCTATTCAAGATCAAAGCAATCCCGCATAAATCACCCTTGCTGACTTCTGCCTCTGTACAACACTTTGCTGGCTACAGAGCAGCTTCTTTTGCTTTTCTGTCAATTGATTAAAAATAACTTGTGGGACTTTACTAGAAAATGCTGTGTTGTCTAACTTGAGTTATCATTTTCCACAAATCCAGAATAAACAGCTCTTCACTATTTTTTCAGTCGGCACACGGTTCTTCTATGCCTGCTGTTGTGCCTATAACAACTATAAATCCTTTTTTATTGTGAGTAAAAGTCATTCAGAAAGTGTTTTAGCCATCCAGGCTTTCTTTTGTCCTATAGTATTGAATTATTGCATTCATTGCAGAGAGTGTTCAACACCATAAAATTCCAACATGACAAGCGCACTTGTACATGATCTCAAGTTTGTTGCATTAGGACTAAGATAACTGGTGGTATTGGCCATTAAAATGAGAGATGGGGGGGTCGGTGTTATGATCAGTTATTGGTCTAACCCAAAATAGATTTCTCCATGAAACATTGTTTATGTATTTGATAAATATATGTTGAACAGCTGCTATTTGCAAGCCCCATGCTTAAGAGCAAGAATTTGTATTCATTCCTCGAATATCTCAGTGCAATGTACACATAAACACACAGCATTTTGTAC